AAAGATTTTCCAAATTAAGGGGACTTTCAAATTATTATAAATTGGTATTTAAAGATTGCAAGATTTTAAGATTCTTCTGTAGATTCTATTTTAGACTTAGGATTTTAAGTAACAAAGTTTTAAAAACAAATTTCTAAACCAGTTTCTTAATTAGAAATATTAGACAAACTACTAACTGAAATTCTTAGAGTTAGTTTTAGTTTTAGCTTCAATAATGAAAAAAAACTGCAAATTTGTCTCAAAAACTTGTTTGACTATGACACTGCTAAGACATTTCTTTTGATAGTTTTCTAACCTTTTTGGGAACAACCTTTTTCACACTATGTAAATTTGACAATTTTGTTTTTGACAATTTGCGTTTTTTGCACTTTTATGTGTTTACAAATTGTCAAACGTCAATTTTACATTATTTTACAAATAATTTTGGAAATATTTTGCAGCTTCTGTGGTCAGTATGTACAATGCACAATACCACGCATCTCGCGAAATGTCTCTCGCAGACGAATTAGGCACTTCAGGGGGCAGTGGACCAAGCTCAATCTTAGTATTAAAATGCGGATATCTCTGGGACACAGATTCCCCCGACTCGGATCGCCTTATAACAGACGCCGACAGTGGCCACAGCACAGCCCATTCTCCCACGGGAACCGATGGTTTCAAATCCATGTCACCCATCATGGGCATATCTTATTATAACGACGTCGAAATGCTTGAAGCCACCCATCGAGGACTCCACAAATTCGTGCCGAGACACGACGACGAAATCGAGGTCGAAATTGGGGACCCGATTTACGTGCAAAAGGAAGCCGACGATCTGTGGTCTGAAGGTAACTTTCAAATTAACTGTGGGTTGCGATAAAATTGGTTATTTCTTTAGGGGTTAATTTGAGGACGGGAAGAATGGGGATTTTCCCTTCTGCTTATGCAGTAGACTGTGATTACAGCGATTGGGACTCATCGTGTGAGCATGGGAGGAGGGAGAGGTATTTGTTGGGGTATTTGGGGTCGGTGGAGACTTTAGCACATAAGGGGACGTCGGTGGTTTGTCAAGCTGTGAGGAGAGTTATCGGGAATTCGGGAAGCGATCCAGATTCGCAACCATGCATTCTTGAAGTTTCCGATCAAGGCCTGAGGATGGTGGATAGGAGGAAACGAAACGTTAGTATTTGATCCCAATTAATAGCTAGTAATTAATTTAATAATAGTAGTTTATTTTACAAATAAATTGTTTATAAGTAGTAATTTGAAATGTGTAAAATGTAATTATTGCATTTTTTATCTGCCATTGGTGTTTTTAACAAATTGCGTGTGGCAAAACCCGAATTTGGGAGTAAATTCTAAGAGTTAGAGATGCAATTGTAGCTTCAAAATTATAAACATTCTAAAATTTGAGTTTTCTAGAAATGAAATCTGAAATATCAATCTAAAAATGTCTAAAAATTCGAAGGTTCGCAAGATTTCAAGATTCTTCTTCATATTCTGTTGAATCAGTAGGATTCTAGATTGTTTTCTAGAATTCTCATATTTTGTAAATTCGAGATTTCAAAAATAATTTAGAATTCTACAAGGTCAACATAAAGTCGTAGACCTTTTTGGCGTTTAACGAAAGTTTTGAAACCTCTAAAAAACTGCAAATCTCTACGTCTCAAAAACTTGTAGAAATTAAGAATTCTGATAGTTTTAAATTTGACTTTAGCTTTTATATATCCTAAAATTTGAGCACTCTATATTAAGTTTTTGGAATATAAATTTAGAAATA